GCCAGGTAAAACAAAGAGCAATTTTAACCAAAGTTTCATTTCAGACAGAGGGGAACTCTCAGACAGAACCTGATTTCCTCTTATGGAGGAACTGGGACTAAAGTCACAGAGTCTTATCCCCTGCCAGAACGGTACTGCAGATGATTTGTTGCAGAGTCCCAAATGGCTAAAAAGCCCAGATGGCAGTTATCGAGGACTCCCAGCATGCACACCAGTTTGACTTACCCAGTCAGACTTAGAGTCCATCCACTCCCCCAGAGAAGTGTTTTCTTTCACCCACTAAACTTTTCAGGTGGTGGATGCCTTGAGATAGAGAGTAGGGAGAGACCCGGAGGAAAAAAAAATTAGCAGTTGCTGGGAAGTTCCTGTAATCCCTGCCACGGGGTCAACCCATCACAAGCAGCTGGGACCACCAGCTAAGTGAGACATGCCCCTATTTTCAAACAAATAAACTAAGCAATAAAGACACATCAAACAATAACCAACAAAAACACTCTTTTATACAATGTTTACAGGTGTGCACAACAGACAGACATGATTATTATGGATTACCATGCCCTCCTATCTGTATAGCCACAGAACCAGACAGAATGTCTTGCGTTAGGAAGCCAACTGAAGCAGAGCAATGCTTTGACCTGGAGCTGGTGTGGTTCAGAGACCAGGCAAGGACCATGGAGGATCTTTTGCAATCTGGAGCTGATCAGGTTCAACCCAGATGGTGGGCGGCAGATGCTACCCATACCCATAAAAAGAAATGCTCAATTCAACTTAAGTCAAACAACAGGGGATTGTCAGAACCAAAAGTGTAACACAATAGGCAGTCAGTGGGATCTCAGGTATTTACCCTAAGAAAGGTCTCACTTTTCAGTCCTCCTGCAGTTGCTGAAATTGAAACCAACCACAAAATCAAGTCCATCCCTGCCTGTAACCACTGAGCCAATAAGCAGAGACAAGGTTGGATCATTTATGAGTGTTTTTTCATATTGCCAGCAATATGGAGTGAGCAGCAGGTATGACATCCTAAAAAACCTGCTCTCTGACATTTCATTTAAAATATATATATATTATTGATTTTTTACAGAGAGGAAGAGAGAGGGATAGAGAGTTAGAAACATCGATAAGAGAGAAACACTGATCAGCTGTCTACTGCACACCCCCTGCTGGGGATGTGCCCACAACCAAGGTACATGCCCTTGACTGAAATCAAACCTGGGACCTTTCAGTCCGCAGGCCAACACTCTATCCACTGAGTGAAACCGGTGAGGGATGACATTTAATTTTAAATAAATTCTTATATAGGGTTAGTGGGTGGGAAAAAAAAATCTAAAGTAAGTGAATTCCAAGGGTCTGGCTTCTTTCATTTTTCTTGCAAAGATTAGCCCCAGAATGTTGCAAAGATTAGCCAGGAACACTGTCTCCCTTCATATTAGTTCTGTCCTTGATCTGGGCTCTGGGCTGCCTTATCTTTAGAGCCTGTTCTTGTAACATTTCCTTCAGTTTCCCAGAGTCTTTAAGAAAATCTCTTATTTATAGTAAGTAGCTATTAAACACCTGTGATTCTATTGCTACTACATGCTCCCCTCCATCACTTCCATTTGTTTGTATATTCTATGTATTTTAAATGTCCTATAATTTTCCCAGTACAGGTCTTTTACCTCCTTGATTAAGTATATTCCTACGTATTTTTTTTTACTAGAGGCCTGATGCATGAAATTCATGCATTGGGGAGTGTCCCTCAGCCCGGCCTGCACCCTCTCCAATATGGGACCTCTCCCCATCCCGCTTTCTCTCTATCACCATACTATTGTCTGTGACTATGTGTCATATATGTATGACTACACTGTATATAGAGTGTTTATTCCATTCACCTTTTTTTTTTCACCAAGCCCCTATACCAGCCTTCATTCTGACAGCTATCAGTCTGTTAACTGTGTCTATGTTTCTGTTTTCTTTAAGTTATTTTGTTGATTAGATTCCATATATAAGTGACATCATATGGTATTGGTCTTTCTCTAACTGGCTTATTTCACTTTGCCATTTTTAATTGGATTGTTTATTTTTTCTGGTGTTTAGTTGTATAAGTACTTTATAATTTTGAATATTAACCCTTTATCAGATGTACCATTGGCAGACATTTTCTCCCATTCAGTGGGTTATCTTTTCATTTTTTTGATGGTTTCCTTTGCTATGCAAAACTTTTTAGGTTGAAGTAAGTCCCTTTTGTTTGTTTGTTTTTTATTTGTTTCCCTTGCTTGAGAAGATATATCAGAAAAATATAGCTATGAGAAATGTCTGAGATATTAGTTTATTATTTTTCTGGTTTTGCAACTTTTAAATAAATCTTTATTGTTGAGCCCTACCCGGTTTGGCTCAGTGGCTAGAGCATCAGCCTGCAGACTGAAAAGTCCCAGGTTCGATTCTGGTCAAGGGCACATGCCCAGGCTGTGGGCTCGATCCCCATTAGGGGGCATACAGGAGGCAGCCAATCAATGATTCTATCTCATCACTGATGTTTCTATCTCTCCCTCTCCCTTCCTCTCTGAAATCAATAAGAAGATATTAAAAAAGAGAGAGAGAGAGATGGGAGGGAATTAAAGGATGCCACCCCAAAATACATGTGCCTCTGGCATTTTGACTATTTTGAATGCGAAGCACTTGAAAACAACAGATTTTTTTAAAAGGCATCCTGTGCAATTACAAATCTTTATTGTTGAAAGTATGGCATATGTCCCTCTTTTCCCCCACTGACCTCTTCTACCCACCCCCACCCCCTGCACCAGGCCTTCACCACTCTATTGTCCTTATCCAGGGAATCTATATATATAAAAGGCTAAGTGACCATCCGACCATCTGACCGGAAGCTATGATGTGCAATGACCAACAGGGGCAGACAATCAACACAGGAGCTGCCAAGCTGTAGTGACTTGGCAGCAGCGGTTCTCAGGTGACATACTGTGGAACCAGAGAGGAGGGAGCCTGATTCTGGGTTGTGTCACCTGAGAACTGCCCTCTCGCAATCCAGGACCCCTTGAGGGATGTCACAGTGCCAGTTTCAGCCTGATCCCCACAGGCCAGGCTGAGGGACCCCACCTGCTGGAAGGACCCCACTCACTCCGCAGACACCCTTCGAGCCGTAGCACCACCTCAGCTGTAGCTGGCCAGGGAGGGACCATGGGAGGTTGGCTCCAGGGCATATCTGGTCTGTCTTGCCCAGTCCCACCTTGCCTGCCACCTTCTAATTAATTTTCTCTCAATGTGTACGGATCACTGCACTGGGGCACTAGTATGCATATACGCATAGAAGTTCTTTGGTTGATCTCTTCCTACTAATACACCACCCCCACCTTCCCTCTGAAATTTAACAGTTTTTTTCCATGCTTCTATGTCTCTGGATCTATTTTATCAGTTTATTTTTATTAGATTCCACATATGAGTGAGATCATGTGACACTTGCCTTTCTCTGACTGGCTTATTACACTTAGCATAATACTCTCCAGGTCCATCCATGCTGTTGCAAATGGTAAGAGATCCTTCTTTTGGTCATGGTGTATGATCTTTCTAATGTAATTCTGGATCAAATTTGCTAGAAATTTGTTGAAGATTTTAGCATCTATATTCATCAGAGATATTGGCCTGTAATTCTCTTTCTTTGTAATGTCTTTATCTGGTTTTGGGATTAGGGTACTGCTGTCTTCAAAGAAAGAGCTTGGAAGTGTTCCTTCCTCTTGAAATTTTTGGAATAGTCTGAGGAAGATAGGTTTTAGTTCTCCTTTGAATGTTTGCTAAAACTCTCCTGTGAAGCCATCTGGTCCAGGGCTTTTGTTTGCTGGAAGTTTTTTTTTTTATTACTGCTTCAATTTCCTCCATAGTTATAAGCTTATTCAGATTTTCTTATTCTTCCTAATTGAGTATGAAAGGTCATATTTTTCTAGGAATATGTCCATTTCTTCTAGGTTGACTAGTTTGTTAGAATAGAGTTGGTCATAGTATTTTTTTTTTTTTTTTACAATTCTTTGTATTTCTGTGGGGTCTGTTGTAATTTTGCCTCTTTCATTTCTGATTTTGTTTATTTGGGTCCTCTCTCTCTGCTTCTTGGTGAGCCTGGCTAGAGGTTAATCAACTTTGTTTATCCTTTCAAAGAACCAGCTCTTTGTTTCATTGATCTTTTGTATTGTTTTGGGGTTTTTTTTTGGTCTCTCTTTCATTTATTTATTCTCTGATCTTTATTATTTCCCTCCTTCTGCTCACTCTGAGCTTTTCTTGTTGTTCTTTTTCTAATTCATCAAGTTGAAGAGTTAGATGGTTTATTACCAGTGTTTCTTGTTTTTTGAGGTAGGCCTGTAATGCTAAGAACTTCCCTCTCAGGACTGCTTTCACTGTGTCCCATAGATTTTATATTGTTGTGTTTTCATTGTCATTTGTTTCCAGGATGTGTTTCATTTCTTCTTTGATCTCTTTGGTAACCAAATCATTGTTTAATAGTATTTCAATCTTCTTGAATTTGGGGAGACTTTGCCCATGTCCCAATATGCGGTCTATCTTTAAAAATGTCCCATGTGCACTTGAGAAGAATGTATATTCTGTAGCTTTGGGGTAGAATGTTCTGAAGATGTTGATTAAGTCCATCTTATCTAGTGAGTCATTTATGATTGCTGTTTCTTTGCTGATTATTTTTTTGTCTAGAGGATTTATCCCGTGATGTTAATGAATTTTTCTGACATATTCCATGCCCCCATTTCATTTAGTTCTCTTTCTGGTGATTCTTCCTTTTCTTTCCTGTGGGGGCTGTTTCATTGTCCCCCCATTTTTGCTATCACCAAAGGGTCTAGGCACTGAGTTGCATGGGATTTGTGTCGCTGTGGTGAGTCAGCAGGAGTGTTGTGTGCACCAAGAGTCTCAGAAGTGAGTCTCGGGAGAGTTCAAGCGTGAGGACATGTGGCCACAGGGGTTGGTGGTAGCTCCGTGTGTGCCAAGAGTCACAGTAGAGTTCAGGCGCCAGGATGCATGGAGCTTGTGCTGCTGCTGCAGATCGGCAGGAAGGGGACACTCTGGGACTCCCTGGAGCCCGAGGCCAGAAAGGCTGGATTCCTGGAGTCCATGGGTCTGTGCTACAGTAGCAAGTCTTTATCCTGAATGGCTGTAGAGTCCCAGGTTGTGTCTGAGGGCAGTCTGTGTGGTGGTAAGGCTGGGATCCTTGTCACAGAAGCTCTGCCCTTCAAGATGGCATGGTTTCTGTGCCAATGCCTGCTGCCCAGGATTGCTTTCAGTGGTAGTGGGGCTTCCCATCTAAGAGAGCCTGGTCCACCAACCCCTGAAAGTCCTTCAGGATCTAACTGTTCCTCACTCAGACAAACACACACCATACAGGCCTACACACTCCCCTTTCACTCCCTCACTCACTCACACTCTCTCCCTCACTGCCCACCTCCATCTTAGGATCTGTGGAATTTAATTCCTATATGACAAATTTGTGAATGATTCTATATTTGTATATATTTCCTCATGAAATTGAATAATTTCTCATTTTCAGTCCCTTTTTGAAAAAATGTTTATTCAATGAATGAATGAATGAATGAATGAATGAATGAATATAGTGTCACTTCCCAGCCTGATGTATTAGTCAAGATGGCCCCTGTTGTTCTATGAAAGCAAACTAATCCAAAATTTGATTGGTTCAAAATCACAAAGGTTTATCTCTTGCCCATGGTATATATCCAACTGCACATCAGCAGGAGGATTTTTTTATTATAGCCACTTAGGGTTGCGGGCTGGCAGATTAGCCATCATCTCAAACACTGCTGATCATTATGCCAGAAAAACAAAGATCTATGGAGAGTTTCACCACATCAGGTAAGTGCTCTAGCTTAGAAAGTACCAACATCATTTCCTTTCTCAAATCCTTGACCAACCTCCTGGCCCAACTTAAGCACAAGCTTATCCAGGAAGGAAAATCTACTATGTGTCTGAAAGGGGCAAGAATCAGAAATACCTGGTGAATAGCATTAATAACTACTATACCTTGTTAACTGAGACTAATGCATTGCTTCTCTTTTTAGACTCTGAGCACCCTGAAGATATTGACAAGCAACATTTCTGGTATATACTACTGCATAGCTATGAACAAGGTTGGCATTGATGAGAGAAGCATACATTTCTATGTCTCAGGTAAATTCTGAACTGGGGAGGATAAAGCAGACAGGGCTGGTCTTCTATGATGTGATTAGAAATGCATGAAAAATATACCTTTTCTCAGCCAGCTCAACTCCAGGACTGCAAAGTTGACTGAAAATCTGTAATATATAGCTCATTTTTTGAGGTTAAGGCAGAATTTGGCTGAAATGCAAATATCCTAGAAGGGGCAACACATTAAATTAGTATAAAAGATTAACACTTTAGCAAGAATCTGATTGTTATAACTTTCTTTTGTTTTTAGATTAATTTATAATATTTCCAGCTCCCTCACATCATGATTTAATTTGCTTCTTTCAATGTCTGGTTAAAATTAGGTGTTAGTCAATAATCTAGATGATAGATGATAGAATAAAATCTCAGAAATTGATATCTAAACTTGTGCAGGACTAAATTAATTTATTATAATTTTATTTACTTTTAAAATAAATTTATTGGGTGACATTAGATTAATAAGATTATATACTTTTTGAGGGTAAAATTCTATGATATATCATCTGTATAAGGCATTGCATGACCACCACCTAAAATCAAATCATATTCTGTCACCATATAGTTCACCTCCTTTATCCTTTACTACCCCTCAGCTCCCTTCCTTCTGGTAACCAGAATACTGTTGACTGTGTCTATGAGTCTTTATTTATTTCCTTTGTTCATTTGTTGCTTTCAGTTTTATATATCATACTAGATGCCTGGTGCAGGAAACTCATGCATGGGGGAGGGGGGTGTCCCTCAGCCCAGCCTGTACCCTCTCCAATCTGGGAACCCTTGAGGGATGTCTGACTGTCCATTTATGCCC